TACAGCCTTTTGCAAAAATTATGAGAATTGTCTAAATATCTAAATATCATAATATCCATATCCATATATTTTCCGGAACACGCGGGTTTGCTAGAATAATTCATTGTTGACATCGAGAAAATGTTCAGAACTACGGATAAGTCTGTCGCCAAAAAAAAAACTAAACTACAAAGACAAGGGACTAAGGGCATCGCGCGAGATTACCCACCATGCACTCGATATTATGATATTTAGATATTTCAACAATTCTCATAATTTTTGCAAAAGGCTGTAAACACATAAATACATAAATACATAAATACATAAACACGTAAATACAAATGCATAAATGCATAAGGACTTTTCTCAAAAGTCAATTTTACTCAAAATTATTATACACTCTTGTATCGTTTACATAGTTTTAATTGTTATGAACAGATGATAAAATACCTGAACATTTCCTTCCATCGCCAGTGTAGCCAGATTTTAATTTTTCAAAAATGTATAAAAATATTATATTTGGAAAGAATATAATAAAAATAGGTCCACATTTCGACACTTGAGCATCTATCCCAAATGTATCAATATACTGTGGCGTAATTATGCAATGGGGCAATTGTTATAAAATATGATAACATACCTGAACATGTCATTCCATCGCCATTGTAGCCAGATTTACAAGTACAAGTGTACGAACCTTCAGTATTGATACATTTTGCATTTACATCACACATGTGGTAATCAGCAGAACATTCATCAATATCTGAAACAGAAAACAATAGACATTAGGTAATATTGAATGATTTTTGATCAGTTCTGTACTGTGAATGTATGGTGTTACTGTTAAACTATGACAAGCACTTCAAATAAATAGTGCTCTATGGCAACAATCTAAAAAAAAAATAATATAAAATGTACCTCGTTTGCACGTGTAAGCGTGGCAAGACCCACATGTGACGTCATTCCAATGATAGTCATGACGTAATCCCAGTGTATGAACGCAATCCTGGTCTCCAGGGTAACTGTTTGGTTGGTTTGGCGCCCAGTACGTAAAGTTAACATTGGTACCGTCAATCCAGGTAAARTTTCCTTCACTGTCAATGTCTTGTAGTCCTATCCATCCTGTATCACCACCGTGACGATGTTGAATGTACGTGTTTTCTTCTTGGCTGGTGACACTGGTCAGATTGGAGTTAACATCAAGACAGTTGGACTGAGCTGCATTCCAAGAGGCACAGGAAGAGGTGGTCTTGTAGCAGAAGCCATTGAAGTAGTTCCAGTCTTTTCCACACATATCTAAAACGAAGAACAATTGTAGTAGTCTAGATTTGAGTGCATCTTGAAAGCATTCACCTTGTCAATGCATGGAATGTTTTCACGAAACAATAAACGTTGCCAATCGTCTCAATTAGTTAAATGAGTAGTTCTTATTGAGCAAAATGAAATACCTGATRCAACCAYGTACTGCAGGGTGACAGGATCATAACGGTCCGAGTACAACTCTTTAAGACAAACACGGAATGCTTCCATCGTAATATTCTGTATAATAACAAAAACGATCTGGTATTGAAACGATGTGTTTATATAAACAAAGTATTGCGCTTTAGAATATTTCTATGAGTAATCTAATTTWATCTCATAGATCGCAAGTAGATAAGCCGGGCAATGGTTCTTAATTTATTAAGTGCTATTAAGCTATTTTAAGCGGTCAGAGACAGTTTTTGACAAATTGTATGAATGATAGAAGAGATAACTATGATATCTACAGTGTAAACGTCAAATAATGACAACAGATTGAAACCAACCTCAATCCAAGCTGAWATCCCGTTGCATGTAGGGTTAGTAAGGCCAACACTTGTATCATGGGTTGCTGTTATCAATACTGAAGGTCGTCTTGTGTAGTTTCTTGCAAAGTTCACATCCTGTKTAAGACAAAAATTGACAAATATCAGGACTTGATGATTAAATAGGATCATCAGAAAAATTTCTCTTTTTTGCGTAGGGAGGGGGAGGGGGAGGGGGAGGAGAGAGAGAGAGAGAGGGGGGGGTTGGATCTCCTTATGTGATGACCCTGACAGATAATCTCTTAACATTGTGTTGTATTCTAGATGGAAAATTTAAACTAAGTGTATGCAGTATCTACTATTTTGAGAATGCAAATGCAATATAGAAATTTTAAATCCAAATCTTTGAGTACCTCTTTGGTAATAATATTTCGATCTAAATATTATCTTTGAGAGTCTTCAATTTATGTCTAGTTGAATAATCATTTTCAAGATTGTATCGCACATATCAAGACGTACTTTCTTTTTCATAACAAAACAAATTTAATGCAATTCATCAGGATGGGATTCCTGTGGTTTTTGCCTCATTGTGAAACGAAGGGCCATGTGTCTAATGGAGTTCACACATCGCCGACATATTGAGTAACTTGTTCCCTATAATATCTCTACTTCTGAGGCATTTTAAGTCCTAAAGTCTGGCTAAATGACCAAGAATCAGTTCGAACACTCAAGGTAAGAATATCATCCATCAACCATTGAAAGCAAGTGAATAACAAATGTCACGAAATTGCAACGAATGTAAAATTAAGCCTCCAAAGTTTTCGAGCTTTCCTTTTTAAACGTCCGACATTCTTTGACGCACAATTCAACGTTAAAATACTGGTCGAGTCGAGTCGGAATAAGCAAGCGAGCACAGTAATAATAACCCTACGAAAATAGAGCAAACGCAGGGAAACCATGAAAAAATTAAACTAAATACTAACAAATAACGGCTATTTAGAGAGAGTTTGTCAGTATCAATGAACCAGAACACAATGAAGTTTAATCCACATGAGACTATTTTTAATTCATTCTCGT